CCCTGACCTCTCCAATGAGCTCCAGACTCAAATCTGTCATTCCAATCAGGGTGCAAAACACAGATCTGAAATGAAACTTTCAATTTATTCTCTAAACCTGTTCTTCTTTCAGCTGGTCTTCCCATTCCCTTCAGCTGGTAAGTGACACCACTATCCATTACATTGCTTAAGGCAAAAACCTAGAAAAGCACTACCTTAATCAGTGTTATCTTTCCTCTCACCGTGCATTTTAATTTCTCCACATCTTTCTTAAGCACACTAACTAAATTGGTCTAAGTAGAGTCTAACATCAATTGAAGAGGAAGGATAATTTTTTGGTGCCTGAATGATAGATTTCAATATTATGTGGGACTGTTTTTTTTTTTTTTTTTTTACAATAGTACAACATTGATGACTCATATTCATTGTTGACAATCCTGATATCCAGATCTGGATATGGGCCATAGTCAGTCTCAAAAAATTTGAGTTTAGCTGAGAAAGACACAAAGATATGGCCTAAGCGACTGACCCTATCTCCACTTTGTGGAGCAGCTGAGAGTGGGTATAAAGGTGTAAAAAGTACAGGTGAGGCTGGGTAATCCCAACACTTTGGGAGGCAAAGCTGGGAGGATCACTTGAGACCAGAAGTCCAAGACCAGCCTGAGCAACATAACATAGCAAGGCCTTGTCTCTATGAAAAACAAAAAAATTAGCCAGTCGTGTTGGTGTATGCCTGTAGTCCCAGCTACTAGAGAGGCTAAGGCAGAAGGATTGCCTGAGACCAGGAGGTCGAGGCTGAGGTAAGCAGTGATTGTGCCACTCCATCTTGGGTGACAGAGCAAGACCCCAACTCAAAAAAAAAAAGTATAGGTGAAACACCAATGTTAATACACTATCTATTAACAAGTGCTGTGTAAAAGGGCAATTTAGCTTTAAGGGCAGTATTAACATTACTACCTTCCATTTTCCACACAGCTGCTAGAGTGATCCTTTGAAAGCAAATCTGATTACTCCTTTGCTCTTCATGGTATTTTATCAACTCCCAATAAAACTCAAAGTCTAACTATGGCTTACCAGACAATACAGGATCTGGCTCCTGGCTGTGATTTCCATTTTATTTCTCTAATTTGCTGTGCTCCAGCCACACTAGTCTCCTTCTTTTCTTCCATGCCAAACAAGTCCCTGTTTCAGGGCCACTGCACCTGCTGTTTCTCTTCTCCTAGATGAGCTCCCTCTCTCATTAAATGATTAGATTTCTGTTTAGATGCCTCCTCTGCTAAGCAGCCTTCCTTATCTATCCTAACTAAAAGAGAATCCCCACATCATTCTTTATCCTGATTTGTTTACTTTCCCCTAAAACTTCCCACTTTACTGGGTATTATCTATTATTTAGTAATATGTGTATTGCTTATTGTCAGTCTTCCCCACTACAAAATGAGCTTCATGACTTTGCTTGGTTCATTGCTGAATTCCCTGCACCTAGAACAGTCTCCTGGCTAAATATGTTTGAATGAATGCACAGATTTTTTTCAGGATGCCCCACCTGTAACACACCCTATCATATATTTGTTAACATGATGCATAGGAAAATGTCTGGAAGGGTAAATACCGAAATGTTAACTGTTTATTTAACCCAGTGGGAAATGGTTTTCATGTTATTTTTCATCATGTGAATTTTTTTAACAATGAACTTGTATTACTCACATGCCAAAAAGAATTAAAGGGGGTCACGCACGCAGAAAGTGTAAATGAACTCTAAAAGAAGTTGGGCAAATTTATCAAAGACAGACTTCAAAAAGATGTAACAGCATAATGGCTAAGATGAACCATGGCTCGAATCACCAACACCTCCGAGCAGTGTGATCCCGAGTTATTTTTGTGCCAGAGCCTCAATTTCTTCACTGGAAACGGGACCATAATAGGCGCCTACCTCCTAAGTTTCAACGGAGCCCGTACCTGTGCCCTGATTCGTACAATGTCTGGCATGCAATAAATACGCGACAAATGGCCGCTATTACCATCATTAGTAGTAGTAATAAGAGATGTTGGGACATACCTAGCCCTCAAGATGGACATCAGAGTAGACCACCACATCCTGTCATCATTGCGCCTCAAGTGAGGCCTCTGAAGCCCAAGGAGGGGATGGTTCGTTCCAAGGAAGACAACGTCGACGTTCCAGAAGCGTCTGTATGAAACGTGCCCTCTTCCCCCCCTTAAACTATTCAATCAATCTGGTTAATCCTTGAACAGCACAGCAGCACTGGGAGGCCCGGACTGGCTGGGTGGTCACGGCTCGCAGTCCCTGGCCCAGTCCCCCGGCCTCAGTTTCCCTCGCTGCAACAGGGGTGGGGTGGGAATGTGACCACGGAACCCAATCAATACCGGCCCGCTCCGCCTCACCGCGCTCCAGAGGGGATCAGACGGCACCACGCACGGG